GGGGGTGTCAGGCTATGGGCACTCAAGGATCCATGAGGTCTGATCTAGTGAATGAGACTATGAGGTTGGAGGAGGGACCTGTGTGCAAAGCTATAGTTGGGTCATCAGGGACTCTTGTGGTCCTGGATCAGTGGGTAGATCTATGGTTAGAAGTGACCTGTGGGTGAGAAAGAGGTTGTGAGTGGGATGGGCTCTGGGGGCATGGCCTAGCTGGTGTTGGAGAAGAATGAGGGTCTCTGCCCATACCAGTACTGTTTTTTCTCTCCTTATCTCCAGGTTCTCTCAGCCCCTGCATGAAGAGATTGCTCTGCATAAACACCTACGACACAAGAACATCGTGCGCTATCTAGGTTCAGCCAGCCAGGGTGGCTACCTCAAGATCTTCATGGAGGAAGTGCCTGGAGGTACCTGCCCAAGTGGGGTGGGAATGGGACCCTAGGTGTGGGCCTGGGGGTTCATTTCCCCCTAGGGCTCTCTATCCTGCTTGTTCCACCCCCAGGAGTGAAATGAGGAGTCTAGGTGTGCTCATGACATGGGTGTGCCTGGACCAGGAGCAGAGAGCTATGGGCAGGGGTAAATGGGTACCAATGGTGAATTGAGACTGTCTATCTGCTCAGGTAGCCTGTCTTCCTTGCTGAGGTCAGTGTGGGGACCCTTGAAGGACAACGAGAGCACCATTAGTTTCTATACCCGACAGATCTTGCAGGGACTCAGCTACCTACATGACAACCACATTGTACACCGGGATATCAAGGTGGTTGGCCCACTCTGGCCTGCTAAGGGTTGTGGGTAGGGAACGTGTTGGGGGAGGCAGGACCCTAGACAGAGGCCAGTAATTTAGACAAAGTACTTAGACTATGCAAAAGGTAGGAATTCATCATGGAGGTTAGTTACTTAGAGAAGAAGAGATGCTCATGAATGAAGCCAGACCAGGCATCAGCTCCAAGAAGGGCTTATAGGTGGGATGGTAAGGGGAGGAGGTTGAAAAAGGCAGGGCCAGGAGGCTGGGATTCCTAGGAGATAGTGTCCCACAGTGGGGTCCAGTTCTGGTGTCAGGTTCACTGAGCAGAATGTGTACTACACTCAGGGAGACAATGTGCTGATCAACACCTTTAGTGGGTTACTCAAGATTTCTGACTTTGGCACCTCCAAGAGGCTGGCGGGGATCACACCCTGTACTGAGACCTTTACAGGTAATAATGTGTGAGGGGGCAGGGGCTGACTTGGGCAGAAGAACTCTTGGGGTCTTGCAGAGAATGGGGTTTCTTCTAGGTGTAGGGTTAGAGTCCTAAAGGGGAGATGAAACCTAGGGCAAGTGATTGAGCCAGGAGTGAGGCAGCGGAATGTAGACTTGGAGCTTGGGCAGGTGATAAAGTTGAGTTGAGCACCTGAAATGGAGCCCAGGGGTGTTGATGCAGGCCAGTGTGGGTGTTGGAGGGGAAAATAGGTGACACCATTGAAGGAATTTGGTAGGAGCCTACTGTGGGTGACAGGGTCTATGAATGTAATGGACCCAAAGATGAGTAATGAAGCCTTGGCAGGTGATGGAGCCTAGGGTGGATGGTGAAACTCAGAGTAGGTGTTTGATAACCAGGGTAGGTGATGGAATCTCTTTTGACTGATGGAGGTCAGAGTGGGTGCCCTGGAGCCTCCTGCAGTGATAAAACTTGATGGACATTATTGTTCCTGGTCTTGTCCTAGGAACCTTGCAGTATATGGCCCCTGAGATCATTGACCAAGGCCCACGAGGGTATGGGAAGGCAGCTGACATCTGGTCATTGGGCTGCACTGTAATTGAGATGGCCACAGGTCACCCACCCTTTCATGAGCTAGGGAGCCCACAAGCTGCCATGTTTCAGGTAAAACCTAGCCTGAAAATGTGGGCTGGGGCCAGACTGGGACCTGAATATCTCTTAAGTTGTACCTTGCTTTCCCTTTTGAACTCCCCCAGGTTGGCATGTATAAGGTACATCCGCCAATGCCCAGTTCTCTGTCGGCTGAGGCCCAAGCCTTCCTCCTCAGAACTTTTGAGCCAGACCCCTGCCTTCGAGCCAATGCCCAGGCTCTGCTGGAGGACGCTTTCCTGAAGCCTGGGAAGAGGAGCCGCAGCCCAGGCTCCCCGCGCCATGCTCAACGAAGACCCTCAGGTACTAGGAAGGGTTGAGGGAAAGAGCAGGGAAGCTCTGGAGGTGACAAGGAGGTGGGGGATGTTGGCCTAGGCTGACAGCCTTGTCCTCCCTCAGATGTTCCATCCGCCAGTCCCACTCCCTCAGCTGACTCGACCACCCATTCCCAGACATTCCCATGCCCTCAGGCACCCTCTCAGCACCTGCCCAGCCCCCCAAAACGCTGCCTCAGTTATGGGGGCACCAGCCAACTCCGGTGAGAGCCTAGGATCTTGGGTGGGTTCCATTTGCCTGGTTTTGTCCTTGTACCACCTCCAGAAAAATCCCTTTTTGGGGATCAGGGCACCTTGCCCACTTGCAAGGATGACATTTGGTGCCTACTGTGCCCTCTTTCAGATGCCCATACTTGTATTTATTGTACTTCCTCAGTGCCTGGTTATCTCTTTTAGCCCTATGAGGCAAGCATTATAGTAAAAGAACCAGAATTCAAACCCTGTGATGGTGGTGGCGTAAGAGTAATAGCGTTGCTGCCCCACCCTCCATCAGTCACTCCCTAATGCACTCAGGGTGCCTGAGGAGCCAGGGGCCGAGGAACCCACGTCCCCTGAGGAGAGTTCAGGGCTGAGCCTGCTGCACCAGGAGAGCAAGCGTCGGGCCATGCTGTCCTCAGTTCTTGAGCAAGAGCTGTCTGCGCTGGCGGACGGTCTGTGCCAGGAGCAAGAACAGGTACGGTGGCCCGCCCCGGCGCCCCCTGGTGGTCGAGCTGGGACAGGGAGCGTTATGCCTTCTCCCTAGCGTCTCTCTTGGCTCTCATGTGGGGACACTCAGTGAGGCTCTCTCTGTTCGTTCTCAGGGTCCTCAGCTTGGCAGGAATCAGGTGGAACAGCTACTGCGCTGCCTTGGGGCACATATCCACACTCCCAACCGCCGGCTGCTGGCCCAGGACCTGCGGACGCTACAAGAGCAACTATGGGCCCAGGGCCTTGAACCTATGCTTCTTCAAGGACCACTCTTTGCCTTCCCGGATGCGGTGAGAAGAGCTTTCACTGTTTGTTAGATTGTTTTTAGGTGCTATCGAGTCTGTTACCACTCATAGCGACCCTATGTACAACAGAACGAAACACTGCCCTGCCCTGTGCCGTATTTAAACACTGTTTAAATATGACGCAGGCCACTGTCTTAATTCGTCTCGTTGAGCATCTTCCTCTTTTATACTGACAGGTAGTGAGCTCCTTGAGCCTGGAAATAAGCAAGGATTTAGGTTCCAAGACACCTATCTTCTCCATGAAAAGGAACATCTACCCACTCCTAGCTTCCCAGCTCCTCCCTTAACTCTGAGCGCGCGCCCACCCCATTTCTCTCACACAGGATACCTCCTAGGCCTTTCCAACTAATCTCACTTCTATTAAGGTCCAGCCAGCTCAGCCACGTCCTTCCTCCCGCTCCAGGTGAAGAAGATCCTCCGCAGGCGCCAGATCCGCCCACACTGGATGTTCGTGCTAGATTCACTACTTAGCCGTGCTGTTCGGGCTGCCTTGGCTGTGCTAGGCCCGGGTAGGAGACTGAATGGCACCTACTCCTACTTAAATAACCACAAACCCGCCAGTCCTCTAGGGTGTAACCTTTGGGGGGCGTGGCAAATAATTAGTGGGAGTCTTTATAGAGGGTGTGGCTAACCGGCTGGAAGATGGTAGGGGAGTGACCGAAGGGGGCTGCACCTGGTATAGAAGCGCCCTCCACTAGTAGTCTTCCGTCAATGTCTGGAGACCCAAAATGGGTGTTCTGGCCTTATCTGAGCCCAACCTACTTGGATTGGCAGAGGTGGAGGAGGCTGTATCCCCACTGTTAGAGGAGCCAAGTAAAGAAAAGAGGTCCCAGGGGAAGGAACAGGAGACCCTTGTTCAGCAGAGCCCACTCCCAAAGGAGCCTGAGCTGGGACCACCGCCTCTGATGGTGCAGCTGGGCCTCTTGCGAGCAGAGACTAATAGGTAAACTGCCTCAGAACCTCCATTAGTCTTTACACCCCACCACCACCACCACCACCACGGCATTCTATTTGCCTTCTGCCCTCCTACAGGCTTCGAACTGTCTTGGCGGAGAAGGAAGGCGAGTGCCACGTCCTGATGCAACAGGCTCTACAGCAGGTGAATGGGGAGGCCATGACCAGTGCTCTGGCCTCTGAGTCCCCAGGTGAGAAGGGACTGGCTGGAGAGCAGGAATGGTGGGTGGGAGGCAGCTTCTGGCACATAAGCCCTAACTAACCACCTGACTTCTCAGGGACAGCTGCATTCCCAGGCGACCAGGGTCTGGTGAAGTGGCTGCAAGAGCTGAGTGTGGATTCTGGCACCATCCAGAAGGTGAGAGGGAAGATGCTGACCACCCCACCATTGTACAACTCTCTCATTGTACAGATGAGAAAGCTGAGGCCCCAAGTGTTGGTAGAAGAAGCTAGTCTCTGGTCTTACTGCTCTCTGTTTCTTTGGGTTTTTGTCCATAACCAGCTGCTGACCCACAGCTTTACCCTTCATGCCCTGCTCACCTGTGCCACTCGAGACGACCTCATCTACACCGGCATCAGGTATGTCCTGTCCTCTCCAAGGCTGACTCAGGCATATGGCCTCAGGCCTGGCCAGCTTCTTCTGTGGGGACTACTGGGTCCCCTGAGGCATCTGGGGCATCAGGCAGAAGAGCCTAGGGCCTTCTTCTGGTGGAGCCACATTAAGCCTGGTATCCCAGGGGTGGAATGGTGTGCCGCATCTGGAGAGCCATCTTGGAGCAGCGAGCAGGAGCCAGGCCAGGCACCCCTAGCTTCCAGGAGACTGAATGAGGGCATCAGAGGCAGGAGGCCAGACGCAAGGATGGAAGAATGAAGAAGACACAAGTAGCTTCTTGTGGACCCAGGGGCAAGTGGAAGAGGCATGGTGGGGCCCAGGCCCAGCTACAATGGAGGGAGTCAGCCATAGTGGCACACAAGTACACTGAACACTAACAGGCAAAGACAATTAAAACATTTTTTACTCATGTCTTGGTGATGTCTGACGTGTATGTGTATGGGACTAGCCTGAGGTATTTGTGTCTCAGCCTGACATTCCTTCATCTGTCAAAGCCCCCTTCACTTCTGGCTCTTTCCTACTGTTACCCTTTCCCCCCTTCCCCAGAGACAATAGCCCACAGATGTCCTTTGGTGTTGTTAAGTGCTGTTGAGTCGATTCTGACTCATAATGACCTTTTGGTTCAAACTGAACTTACATTCCAGTGCATTAATCCACATGCCACACCAGAATTCCACTAGACGCCTTTGTTGTTGTTAAGTGCCGTCGAGTCAGTTCCGACCCATAGCAAAACTGTATAGGGCTTCTGAGGAGCAGCTGGTGAGCTTGAACCACCAACCTTGTGGTTCAAACCGATTTTGCAGTTCAGTGCATTAACCCACAGTGCCACACCAAAATTCCTAGATGTCCTTTGTTGTTGTTAAGTGCTGTCAAGTTGGTTCCAACCCATAGCAACCTATATAGTGTTTCCGAGGAGTGACTGGTGAGCTTGAACCACCAACCTTGCAGTTCAAACGGCTTTGTAGTCTGGCGTATTAACCAACAGCGCCACGCCAGGACTCCTAGATGTCCTTAGGACAGACTTTATTGACTTTAGCCACAGGCAGGCCTGAGATGGGGGTCCAGAGAGAGGGCTGTGGTGGGACTCCTGGGGCAGCTATGTCCTAGGAGCCAGGTTGGTTCTGAGGGGCAGAAGGCCATCCACCCACTCACATGGCCGCTCCAAAAGTGTCTGCCACAGCTGCTTCTCCTCAGGTGTGGAGTCCATCCAGGGTACCTGGAGCCCATAGCTGCTGCCTGATGTGGATGGGAGCAGGGTGAGAGGCTCATCACATAGATAGCCCAGGTCCCAGGAAACACCTCTCTGGTTTCAGATTATGTGCTGTGCCCAGTTATCCCCAGTGTCAGTTTAGTAGACACCAAAACTTCAGAAAGGGCAGGGAAGTGCCTAAGTACTGGTGCCCCCCAGGGACCTGCCCCACTCACCGGTGCCCAGGCTGAGGCGGGTACCCCCCAGTTGACGGCTGGCTAGAGCGCCATGGTCCCAGAGGGAGAGCTCGGCACAGGCTTGGCGCAGGTCAGCAGGTCCAAAACCATCGTAAACCATGGTGTGGTTGAACATGGGGCTGAGGCTGCGGCGCACTACCCTTGTCCGCTGGCGGCTGGCCCGGCTGTCATCGGGCAGCACTGAGCTGTTAGGAAGGGGTACTGGCATCAGGTGGCCACCCTCTCACACTCTCCAGACCCATCTAACCATGAGTCCTACCCATTCTCCCTCACTATGTTAAGTCCTGTGACTTCTACCTGAGACCTGGCTTCAAACCACCACTGTTCCGGGGCCTTTGTACCAGATTCCTTTTGGATGTCTTGTCTTTAGTCTCAACTCTGATTCAAGGGACACCTGAGTAATGTTTCTGAAATGCAAATCTACTCCCTGGCTCAGTAACCAGACTCCCTGTTGCCCCCAGAAGTAGTTTCCAAACTTTTGAAAGCCTTGGATCCCCATCTGCAAAATAAAATATTGTTCACAAGCAGAATGTTTCTGGTTGAATCAGAGATAGGAATGCAGTACCTGTTTAGTCTATCTCAATTTTACTTCCTGAGTAGGGCAGCACCAGAGGTATCCCTACAGTTAACAGGAGCTTACATTGAAAACCACTTGACTATAAATTCAGCACCAAGCCCTACAACCTCGTCCTCCAGATTCTTCATAGAGGTGTACAACTCTTCCCCAGTCTCAACCTCAGCCTTTTGACAAGTCCTATAGGTCCTAGCTGTGGGTTAATGCACTGGACTGCAAAGTCGGTTTGAAACACAAGGTTGGTCGTTCAAGCTCATCTGCTGCTCTTTGGAAACCCTCATCAGCTGCTCTTTGGAAATCGCTATGGGTCAGAAAGTCATTTAACAGCAGCATAGTATAGGTGCCAGTCATATCAGAATACAGCTCACCAAAGGTGTTCTAAACTTTCCTGACTCTAGGCCTTTGCTCAGAGCAAGCCGTTCATTTCACCGTCGCTGATGTTTAAAGTCCAGACTTGGGAATCAGGTTGATTAGAAAGGGTTAGCTGGAGGCTGGGAGCGTCACTGCAAGCGAAGGGAAAGGCAGTGCCGAGGTCCCTGTGCTCCTCACCATTGTACGTAAGTATCCAAGGATCCTGAACGAAGTGGCACGAGGTTCTGAGCATCCTTCACCCAGAAGTGCAGCTCCCCGCTCGGGGGCAGTCCTGCGCCTGCAGAGATGCTCTGCTCAGGCCCTGCCTCACAGACGAATCAGAACCCCCAACTCCTATCCATATCTGACCCAGGGTAAAGGAGTGCTCCGATGCCCGGGATCCACATCCGTCTAGTCTAGCTTGGAATCCCTCAGGGCAGTCACTCACCCTCGGAGCCGGCGGGGACATACTTGAGGGACAGAGAGAGGAACCCACGGCTGAGAAGTTCATCAGGGGAGGGTGGGACCTATGGGAGGAAAGCTCGTCAGGGGGCGGGGCAAGGCATAGAAAAGGAGGATGGAATCTCTAGACACCAATGGGATAAGGTTAGCGGGGAGGGCGGGGCTAGTAGGGGCGGGGCCTGGAGATAATTGAGAGAAATCTATGGTTCGGGAAGGATCTGAGCGACCCGCAAAGATGGGGCTGTTTGGGGCCAGGCCTTTAGATGGCCATAAGGTGTGAGACCGAGGGGAGGCTCTGTCGAATGAGGAGTTTGTGCCAAGGGTCCCCTCACCGGCGGCCTCACCCGGGGCTGCAGGGGGAGCCAGGTGGGCTCAGAATCCCAGTCCCACGTGTCCAGTGGCACTTCGACTTCGCCTAGGAAGATGTTGCGACCCAAGCTTTCACGGTGCCACACGGACAGGCTCAGCACACGGCCCCGGAGTTCGGCCTTCGGGATGGAGTACTGGGGACAGGAGGTGTGCGTTATAAAGGAGCACCACCGCTGACGGCTTCCGAGCTGCGGGAGTGTTAACTGGCTGGTCCTAATACAGCTCTTACAGTTTGGAATCCTGGGGAGTGCCTGTTAAAGGGGGTCTAGCCTATCACCACGCTCACGAAAGACATACTGGAGCACGCGCTAATGGGAGGGCCTTCTTGCCATTCGTGGAGTAGAATGGAGCCTAGGAACAAAGTGCCACTCTTAGAGGCATCCTGTTCACTAACTGGGGGTGTGTGTGGGGGGTAGCGCCCCGTTGCCGCAGGCTCACCCGGAGAGTCTCGTTGAAGACCGGATTCAGATTCCGTTTCTTCACCGCCGTCTTGCGCTTGCTCTGCTTATCCGGGAGAAGGTAGCTTTTGACGTAGCTGGGGAGGGCGACGTGAGGTGCAGAGATAAGACGGGGCCATTCTAGCTCTTACTCCCCAACCCCGGGGCTTGTCCAGCCACCCCCGGAACACAAGTTTCCTATTTCCTAAGTGCCAGCCCGAGCGATAAGCGCTTTACTTGAGTTATCTCAGTGAATCTCCACACCTCCCAACAACGTAGGTATCGTAGGTATCGTTACCATTCCCATTTTGAAGATGAGGAAACTAAGGCCAGAAAAGATTAAGTGGTGGGATTGGTTGTGAACGCGGCTCCCCTCGCGCCTAAACTGGAGCCCCTCTGCCGGCGTCCACGCCCCCTTGTCCCCTGGCCGGACTCACGGGTCAGAGCGGCGGCGCCGGGCGGCGGCCAGGCCCTGGCACTGGATCACGTGCACGCGCAGCTCGGCGGCGCCAGGCTCGTAGCACAACGCGAAGTGCACGGAGCCGCACACCTGCACGGCGCCCGCCTCCGCCTCCCCCGACAGGCTCATCAGGCTGCCGCTCAGCTGCAGGCCGGGCATGGGGGGTCAGGGCGGGGAATGGGGCTCACGTCGGGGCCGAGGGGAGCGCAAGGACTTAAGCGGGGGTCTAGGGGTGGGGGTGGGCCGAAGTGGAGAGGTGAAGGGCACTAGGAAGTGGCTAGCGGGGGAGGGGAGAAGAGGCTGGGAGCGTCAGGTCCGGGTTCGAGGTCAGGCCGGGGCTACGCCTCGGGATGTAGGGAGAAGGAGCCCATCTCCCTCCGAAACCTGACGCCTCATCCCCTCACCGTGGAGGAATTGAGGCTGGACACCGAAGAGCTGCTGCTGAGCATGCGGTCGAATGAAGGGCCAGATCCCGGGGCCTCCTCCCCATTCTCCAGGGGTTTGGGCAACAACTCAACCTGAGAAGTAGGAAGAGTGACCAGGGCGTCCCCTCTTTCCCATCCCTCCCAGGACCATGCTCGGGCCCGACGGCTCGGTACCCCAAGCCAGGTACTCCTGGACGCATCCACTCCAGGTTTTGAGAACAGCACGGCCGCTCCCGCCTACCTGCGCTGACGGGGGCCGCGGCACCTCCTTTCCTTGCTTAGTCGGCTCCGGCTCTGGCTCCGCGTCTTCATAGACTTGCGCTACCCCGGGGCAGGGGGCTGGGGAGAAGCACAGGCTGCTGAGCTGTCTTCATACCTGCCGGTCCCTGAGCACTTTTGGAGGGATTGGTTTCTAACGCTCATGGCCGGCAGATTCAGGACTCCGTGGAGGCCACACGGAGTTTCCCCAACACGGGAGGACAAAGAGGAACACTGGTGGTCGGGGTCACACAAAACTGCCTCGGCTCCCCTCACCCTTTGTATGTTGCCCACTCCCACTCACCTTCCTGGGCCCGAGGCTCCTCCTCATAATCAGAAGCCTTTGAAGGGTCCAATGGTGAGGGGAAATCAGACCCCTGTAGAAATCATGGGGTAGAGATTACAAATTACAAGTGGGAGCTAGTGAGGAAAAAGTCAAGGGTCACCATAAGGTCAGGGGTCAAAGGCTCTAGAAGGCTATCCCATCTTTGAATTTAGCTCAGCCCTCAGGGCAGGGTGGAGGCCAGCTGTGGGACCAGCTGGGCCAGTACTCACACCCCTTCCAACTTTAGAACTTGCCTTGCCTGACTCTCAAGGTCCTACTGAGAGGCCACTTCACCCAGCTCTGTCTTCATTTCGCCCATAGCCAGATTCTGAGGTTCCCTAATAGCCCAGCTCCATTCCATCATCTGACAAAGGGGGATGCTGAGACACAACCCCGAAAGGTGTGTCCAAGGGCTCCAGATTTCTTGTTGTGTTGTTTAAGTTCCCTCCAGTCTGAGCGACCCTGTATAGGGTTTCCAAAGAGTGGCTGGTGGATTTGAACTGCTGATCTTGTGGTTAGCAGTCCAGTGCTTATCCTACAGCACCACACCAGGACTCCTAATTCCTATCGTTGTTAAGTGAGTGCCGTTGAGTTGGTTTCAACTCCTAGGGACCCTGTATAGGGTTTCCGAAGAGTGGCTGGTGGGTTTGAACCACTGACGTTGCGGGTCAAATTGACCTTTCGGTCCAGTGCTTTATCCTACAGAGCCACACCAGGAGGGTTCTATTTCCCAGCACATTCCCAGCTCTACCCCAGGGGTGCTGCATCATTCATTCATTAAATCAGTCCTTCATTACTCACCTCAGCCTCTCTGAGCCTTTCTTGGGGGATTTCATCTATGGGGAGTCTAGAAGTGAGAAGTGGAAGGAGGTGGTTGTCAGGGAAAGGAACCCAGACGATTTTCTACCCATTCCTCACAATGCCCCCTCACCTGAGTTCCAGCTCCTCTTCTTTCTCTTTCCCAGTAACCTCAGCTTCTCCATCATTGCACAGCACCTGATCACCTGGGCCAAGATGAGAAGTTCTGTGAAGCCCCCTTCTCAGGCAGTTTGGCTGTGACTCATGGGAGAGGTCCTTGCCCACTCACCTCCTGCAGCCCATGAAGGAGTAGTACCCACCCAAAGACACAGAATATCAGGGGTAGCCAGGTCCAGAACCCACTGGTCTTCTCTCTCTCAGACCTGCCCAACCTCAGGGGTGGTGGTGTCTTCTCTCACCCCTGAAGTTCTTCTTCCAGCGGATAGAAGCACGAATGAGGTCAGAGCCAAAGTGGGCATGGTGGTGCCGTTGGGACCGTGCTTCCTGGAACCAGTCGCCTGTCAGGATCTTCAACTGCCCAGGGTCTGCCAGTGAGGCCCGGAGCTTGCTGGAGGATGGGGGTTGGGAGAAGGCAGGGAGTGGTTATCACCACTCACTTGCCAACATTTCTGCTACCCACTCTGTGCCAGGCCTTGTACCAGGACCAAGGAAGCAATAGCAATTAGACTTGATCTCTGCTTTGGATGTGGTCAGGTTTGTGGGGAGACCGAGTCCAGGATAGACAAGTACACTATGGTGTGTTATCATAGACGACAGGGCCTGTGGGAACTCGGATGGGCTTACTAGACTAGACAGTGCTTGAATTGCTTCTTGAAGAACAAATTGGAGTTCTCCAGATAGTGGTTGTTGTTAAGTTCCAACTCATAGCAACCCTGTATAGAGCTGTCTGAGGCTCTAAATCTTCATGGGAGCGTAAAATCTCATCTTTCTCTCCTGGAGTCACTAGTGGGCTCCAACTGTGGACCTTGTGGTTTGCTGTCTAGTGCTTACTGTATGCAGCTACCATGTTCCTCTCCAGGTAGATACGGATAATAATTATTGTTCATTAAGTGAGTACTGTGGGCCACACTTGCATAATTCCATTTGATTCTGAGGTAGGACTCCTTAACCACATTTTACAGATGAAGAGATTCTGCTTGGAAAGTCAGATAAAATCCCTAACCCCTACTCCTCTACCATTGTGAACTTCCAGGAGGAAGAGCAGAGGCGTGAAGGGCATGCTGTGTTCACAGACAGGAGCCCAGAGTGGCTATAGTGTAATACTTCATATGCACATAAGTGTATGTGTGTTGGGAGTGGGAGTTATTGGTGAAAGATGAAGTGGGAAAGGTTAGTAGGGACCATTCAGGGAAGCCCTGTGGACATCCTGAGGAGCTTGCTCCTGACAGAGATGCTGAGAAGGTATCCACAGTGGATTTCAACAGCAGATGTGGAGAGTTTTAGCTGCAGAGTGGTGAGTGGACCAAGGGTGTAGCCACCCTGGGGGACATGACCTCTGAGCTGACCAAAGGCCAAGAGGGGACCAAAGAGCAAAGACAAGAACCCTCTACCTTCTGTGCCTGAAGGCCATTCCTTCTGGACTCCTCAGGCTAGGGTTTGTCCTCCCTCACCTGACTCGCCCCTCCTCCAGCTGGCGCAGGTGGGCATCTCGCTTTAGGACATCAGCAATAGCTGTCTGCTCCTCCTCTGTCAGAAAGCTGAGGTCCAACAGCCTGTCGGCCTCAGGCTCTGGCCCCTGTGCCATGGGTAGGGAGGGCAGGACCCAGAGCCTCTCTTGAGATGAGTGGTCCTTCTGGGGCATCAGTTGGGGATTGCACCCCAGCTGGGCACACGTGGTTCCCTGGGGTAGACCAGGAGTTAGGTCAATACTGAGTCCAGATGGTAGTAGGGTGCCACCCCATGAAGGCTGAGGTCAGGTGGAGGGAGAAGCACTCATGGACAGAGGGACCCATGAACATACTCAGGAACACAAAGACAAACATATACCCTGAAGTAGGGACACACAGAGAACCTTGGAGAGAGAGCCCACAGCCATGAATACACTTGTACATGAGGCACAGATACCAACTGTGAGATGAATGCACACATAAAGCTATGCAGACACAGCCACATGCTCAGACCAAGAGATGTGCACACACATATGCTTAAGTCTGCACACAGGTATGTGCACAGACTGGGAGACACGAACCTATGACATGTTCACATATACAAAAGTAAATTCCAGGACAAATATGTATCCCCAAATCACACAGACACAAACATACACATGACACAAACATACCTCCTCCCCACTGAGTTATGAACTCCTTGAAGGTAAAGATGGGGCATTGCCCCCAAAGGCAGTACTTTACATATAACAGGTAGTTAGGAAAAGTTTGATTAATTACATGCAGAAAGTCACCTTGAGAACCCTGCACACATGGGGAATGGTTACACACCAAGACCCATGTAGACACACATGTATACACATGTATCTGCTTAGCCCTCTGCCCTGGGAACCTCCCAACCTGGGGCTCCTTCCTCCAACCTGCCCTGGCCCATTTGGCCTTCCTGTCTGAGGCAACCTCCCCAGCCCACACCCCCAACTTCCTCCCCCCTCCCACCCAGAGGTAACCGCAGCACCCACGCACCCACTCCCACTGAGGCCTCCACTTCAGGGATTCCCCTACTGCTTGTTCCGTCCTGCTCTCCTGCCTGGAGCCCCTGGGTCCCTCTGCTCTGGTCAAATGGATACCCTCACTCTTGGTCCAAGATTTGGCTGGGGTTCTGGCTGTGGTGGCCCAAGACTGGCAAAGTAGCTCAGGCTGCTTAGGTACCATGTTGACTCCGGAAGGAAAACATCTGCCCAACCCCGAGGGGCGTGTGGACGTGGCAAGGGGCCCATGGCTTGGCCATGAGCAAAGTCCTAGCCTGAGCCCACAGGCAGTCTAGTCTCTCTGCTGCTCCCATCTCGTACCCTCTCATGCCAAGATGCCAGGCAGAGCCCAGAGGCCGAGATAGGGAGAGCAGCTTAGCAAGCAGGTCCTGGCTTGTGCCTGCCGCCTCCACCGCCTTAGGTACTGTACCCTCCCAGGCTAAGTCCCCTTCCCCCTCCCCCAGGCACCTAGGGCGTCTGCACGTCAATAAAGTGCGCTGTGTTCAACATCCACAGTATTTCCTGAACAGCTACTGTGTTCTAGGCACAGTGCTGGTGCTACAATATAGACAGTTTGGGGCTCCCTCAGTGGCATGGTGTGAGTCTGTGTCAGTATCTCTGTCGTATTGTGCTGTTGTGTGAGTCTGGGCACTGAACACATCTTGTATAGTGGGCTCTGTGAGCTTCTGTATTTTGTGTGTGTGAATATTGTATCACTGGTGTGTGTCCACGTGCCCTGTCACCTTGTGATGCTGCATGGGTGATTGTTAACTGTGACACTCTGGGTGATAGCACCCTATGGGTGTGTGCAGTGTGTGTTGGGTGTGTGCACTGTGTGTGTATTTCTTCCTGTGCTGTCAGAGCCAATGCTGTGTGTTGTGGTGCTCGTGGGCCTACTGGAGCTATCAGGTGTGTGTGTATAAACGTGGAGGGGGTGGGGGAGGGTGTGTTCTCGCTCTGCCTGGGTCCGCTTGGGCATCTATGGTCAGGGACCCCAGCAGCAGCCCCTCCCAGTAATTTCTTCCCCCTCCAGGGACAGAATCAAGTGCCTAGTCCTCTGTTCTCCAGTCCAACCTTACAGGACAGAGTTATCCGACCGATATAAGGGTTTGTCCATCTGTCCACTGTTCCAGTTCCAGACACTCCCGCCTCCCCCACCCAAGGTCCCAGGGTTCCAGCGGGTGCTGAAGGATCCTAGCAGCAGTACCTAGCAGGACACTGGCAGGGGACCCCAGACCCGTGGTGTGTTACCTGTAGGGGTCCAGCATGGGGGAAACACCTTCGTAGAGTGACCCTAGCTCCCCTGGCAGCCAAGTTTCAGCGACTAGGAGAAGAGCTGAGAGGGACTAAAGCTGACTCAACAGGCTGCCAGCCCCACGATGGAGGAGGAAACACCTTCTCAGCAGGGCTTGACGCAAAACCCGGGCCTGGATTCATGACTCACAGGGGGCACTCACCACCCCAGCACTCAGAGAATGCAGAGGTTTTGATGGGCAGTAGAGGCCTGAGGTTTGGCCCCAGCTCCATTATGAACTCACTCTGTATCCCTCATCTATCATCTTGACTGCCACATCTGTAGAATGGGTAGCAGTCCTCCCCAGGCAGCTGGGTTGCTGACAGGGACTTGCTTTGAAAGCAAAGTAAAAAACACTTTCTAAGAGTCAGAATAATGGAAGTATTGCAGATTTTGCAGTGAGACCCCTAAGTAAAGTAAATTGTCACTGTGTAACCTGGAGCAGGTCTCAAGCTCTCTGAGCTGCAATTTCCTCCTTAGCAAATTAGGAATAGCAGAGTGTAGAACTCCCTTCTATCAGAGAAAATGCAGGCATAAACTGACATAGTAGGTGCCAGGTAGCACCTCCAACACAGTCCAGTGTCCATGGTCATTAAAAAAACCCCACTGCTCCTCCATGCACATACACCTGTACTAGCAAGCACTGGCAACAGCAGAGCAGCTCTTTATCCCTCTGCCACTCTGTGTCCATCGGTTTGCAGAGGCCTGTGCTGTTTTCTCTAGAACCCTCTCATCTCTCAGAAGCCAGGTAGGCATCATGGTCTATTCTTCAGAGTTCTAAATTTCCATTCTGTCTCTGTTCTCCAGTCCTTCCTAAAGCTGTGACTGTCCCTAAGGCTGACTTAACAGGTTGCCAGCAGAGCTGCTGCCTAACCTTGGAGGAGGAAACACTTTCTGTCTCTCCTCCTATCATTTCCATCAGAATTCATCTGGCCCTCCCTACCTGAAACCTCAGTTTCCCAAGTTCCCACTAATATTGTTGTTGTTGTTATGTGCCATGGAGTTGGTTCCAACTCATAGCGACCCTGTACAGGGTTTCCGAAGCTGTAAATCTTTACGAGAGCAGAAAGCCTCATCTTTCTCCCGTGGAACAGCTGGTAGTTTCAAACTGCTGACCTTGAGGTTCACAGCTCCTAATATAAACAACTCCTATTGTCCTATCCCTAAGGCGCTCTGGTAGCGTTGTGGTTACCCATCAGACTGCTAATCTCACGTTCGGCAGTTTGAAACTACCAGCTGTTCCGCGGGAGAAAGATGAGGCTTTCTGCTCCCATAAAGATTTACAGCCTTGGAAACCCTATGTAGGGTCGCTGTGAGTCCGAATCGGAATCAACTCCATGGCACATAACATTGTCCTATCCCCAGGCCTCCTGCTTCTTGCCAGTCACTAAATGCTGCGGTATCTGCCCCATCTCCACCCACCTCCCATGGATCAGGTATCACTCCCCACTCAGCCACTTCCTGGTCTATGTCCTACACTCAATCCCTATAGAGGGTTACCAGAAGGTCTTGTCAAACACAGTGCAGTTCATCATTCCTCAGCTTTGGCAGATGCCAGTAGACAACCAGGGTAACCCTTTGGTCCACTTATAAATATGCTTCACACCTGTACACATTATCACCGGCAGTAGTCATACCACCTCCCTGGACGGACAGTCCCTTCTCAGCCTGAGAATGAGCTGGTCCTGCCTATCCTTCTCCTCTACATGGCTGGAGCATTAGCTACACTCTACTTCTGGTCTGTCTGTGCTTCCCCTTCTCCAGCAGCTAGAGCACTCTCCTGGGAAGTCCTCCACCCCCTTCAGAACCCTTCTCCCGTGATTCTCTGCCTCGGCACTGCAGCGGGTCTCTAGGCAACTCCTCTCTAAGGCCAGGGGCCTGGAGGCCAACAGAGGCGTGTTAAAATGCTGGCTCTGCCATGTAGTCCACAAACTCAGTGAGCCTCACTCTCTTCCTCTATAAACAGAATAAGATGCTATTTCTTAGGACTGCTTTAAAGAGGGGCTTCTGATTCTTTGTCTTGAGCCTAGACACACCTTTTGGGTAGTAGCCTCCCACTCTTTAGTAGCATAGTGGTTCTGAGTCGGGCTGCTAACCTCAAGGTCAGCAGTTCGAAACTACCACCTGTTCCTTGGGAGAAAGATGAGGCTTTCTGCTCCTGTACAGATCCAGTCCCAGAAACTACGCAGGGTCACTATGAGTCAGAACCACCTCCTCACCTTTTAGAGAAAAAGCCGCCCCTCACTCTCACTCCCAGTGCACCAGCTTATGGGAGGGACCCCAAGGGGACCAGGCTGCTGGGTTTGAATCATGTGAAACTACATTTCTTCACCTGTAAAATGGGGGTGATAGCACCCACATTATAGGGCTGGTGAGAATACTTTTAAACAAGGTGCAGCATACAGTAAGCACTCAGTAGCTGTTGGTGGGGTTTATGGCACCTGCTTTATGTCCTGTCTTCTCAAGGTTAATTTTAACTTCTGCTGCCTGAGGCAGGTCTTAAAACCTTTTTTATCCACCTTCTGTGGGTTGTCCTTGGGCGTGAAACTCTTTTCTTTCCAATTCTCAATTGGACCCCAATATGTAATTATGTGAAGATTTGGAAATGAGAGGAGGGTACATCACAGCCACACCCTGGAGGCACTTCAGCTCTGCTGGGTCTAGGAGAGCTAGTGGCTCTTGCTCCAGCAGCTAGTCTGTTCTCCAGACAAGGACATCCTCAGGATGGGCACAATGGGTTCTCTGGGGATCAGAGCCAAAATCTTTTGCTAGTTCAACTACAGTGACACTAGGACAGGGTGGAGAAAGAATTCCGAGGTAGTTATTAGGTTGGGCCTTGGGAGGGTCATAATTTCAACAGGTGGAAGCCAAG